ACACCCCAGACTTAACAACTGTTGATAAGAAAGACAAAAAAGTCTGGATAGTGGACACTGCTATGCCCGGAGACAGCAGAATACAAGAGAAAGAACTGGAGAAAATCACAAAATATAAAGACCTGCAAATAGAACAGCTATGGCAAAAGAAAGCAAAGTTACTATTACCAATAGTAATAGGTTCCTTAGGTGCAATCCCAAAACATCTGGAGCACCACTTGAAGACCATTGGCACTGACAAAATCGCCATCAGTCAATTGCAAAAGGCAGCAACTTACAAGCAAAGTTACTATTACCAATAGTAATAGGTTCCTTAGGTGCAATCCCAAAACATCTGGAGCACCACTTGAAGACCATTGGCACTGACAAAATCGCCATCAGTCAATTGCAAAAGGCAGCAACTTACATCCTGCGATGATACCTTTAATGCCATCAAACATCATCTGCCTATCCCAGGTCCTTGGGAAGGACTCAATAGGTGGATAAAAATGCCAAATCCAGTTGGATAAAAATGCCAAATCCAGTTGGATAAAAATGCCAAATCCAGTCTAAGCAACTGGCTGACTGTGCGACCAACAATAATAATAAAATTTAAGTATGTGGGATAGTGATAAGGCCAAGAATGACTGATTGCTGAATAAATGGGAACACAAGAGTGAGTGACCAGTACAAAACAAGTGAGCTGAAGTAGTTTGATCATATAGAGAGAATAAATGAAGATTGATTCACAGAGTATATGAAGATTGAATAGGTCAAGAGAAAGGGAAAGACCAAGGAGTTATGGTTGGATGGAATTGATGAGACTTTCATAAAGAGAGAGGTGAGAAGTTAAAAAAACAAAAGACAATGTATGAAGCAGCGCATGGATGTGTAGAAGCAAGGAGTTTTCAAGAAATGAATGATATAGAGAGGTAGAATAAATGGTTTTGGGATAAAGTATATTTAGTTTTACTTCCTTTCCTATCTCATGTCTTTAATTTCTTTTGCATACTATTCCTTATTCATTTTCCACACTTTAACAACACTTATCTTAAAAGAGTTTATCACAATGGATAAGCACGTACGGCTACTGATCATGACTGTATGTTACTAAAACTACCAAAGCTTTATATCAAAGGTTTATCTAGTCCAAATTTCTACCTCCTCTGCTACTCCTTACTGTGAGAAGAATAATGCTACTGCAATTATGTCCTACTTAGGGAATTCCTATATGCATTAACCACTAAGAGAACTGAATCTTGGACTAGATGGGCATTTAGTATAATGCATCCAGATACCTCCTATGTTCATGAAAATTTACTGACCATGCAGACTGTATCTGTTTGGAGCACATAAAGAGGCATTTTTAGTCATAAAGTGAGAGATCCAAGAATTAACCTACAGTTACATTAGAAAGATCAGAATAGACACTTAATTTCTTTATTTAGATGTAACCCTGTTGATAATTTGCTGATCCAGCTGTGAAAAACAGGAAATTAATAAGCTAGAAAGACAGTAGATTCTCTAGTGAACCACCAATAACATTAACATTTTTTTTTCAAAACAATAGTTTTGGAACAGGAATTTTGCTTTGGGCTATTTAGGCAATCAAACCTGAATGTTGTAGCTTGCAGATCTGAGATTAATAAAAAAGAGATTAACGTGGCCACACTTCAAAGCTTCACATGGAACTGGCATGTGAAATATGCAGTGTTCTCAGATATCTTGGCAGCAGTCTTTCAGTTATAAGTGAGTGAGATCTCCTAACATAGCCAAAAAGGGATTTCCGCAATATATTTTATATAACTATTTTGGGAAACTAACCTGCTTGTGATCAGGATACATCACAGTTCCAATTTCGGGAGATAATGTTGTGACTGTGGAAAATAGGAAATAAGTCAACTGTTGTATAAAGGACTTTAGAAAGTTACCCCTAGATTGAATTCATCTGTTCAGTGTGTGTTTACTTTGCAAACAGCTAAAGGATGGCAATGAAGAAAACTTTATCCAGAGAACCTCCTGAATTCTGACCTGGCAGCAATAACATCTCTTTATTGCAAACAAAGCCTCTTTCACAAGTAGCATAGCCATGCATTTTTTTATCTGCTGAACAACCCATATTGGCTTGTCCCCACAAAATGCAAAGCTATATGTATGGGTTCAGCATCAAGTCAAAAACATACCCACCCCATGATTTGGCATGATGTGTACCTTCAACTCTACTGGTCCTTAACGCTAAATCAGCATTTGTTTCGACTGTTGAACATTCAGAGGTACCTTGCAGACAATGTAAGCTGGACCTGTTTCACCAATTCCTGGTTTGCTTTCTCCCCTTTTTCTCCAAGTACCAAGGAGAAATGGGCAGAGCACAAACAGAAAACAGAATGTCCAGATGACATTTCATGTTTAAAACAAGACAAGATCTGCCAATCAAAAAACCATGATTTTAAACTGAGTGGTGATATTAAAAAAAAACAAAAACCAGTTTCTTAGAATTGCACATCCTGTTAAGCAAGCACAAAAGCATAAACACACCAAGCAACATTATGGTTCTATACAGCAGATGAACCAAAGAGTAACATTTTTCTTCCCATGCCCTTAATCATATGGCAAGGGTTATGCCGGCAGCTTTGTTTCATCTGCCAGAGGATTCATCTTTCTCTTGGCGGAGCATCCTAAAATTTGTGATTAAGGTATAAGCTGCTCCCTGCTGTTTATAGTCTCTCACCCTTTACACCACAGAGCTCTGTACCAGGAAAGTCACCTTTAGCTTTGCTATGTGGTGAAATGCATTAATTGATGCTTTCCATGCCCGTACAATGGTTGTGGGAGGTCTCATTAACAAACACAGTTCCAAGAACTGGCGTTCACTTTTAATGCCTTTTGGCTTAATATCAGGATATTTAATGCTTTTCGACTGAAACTGTGATTTGGGAAATAAAGATAGATTGGTCGCTGTCCCTAAGCTCCTCCTGTCCCAAGGAAGACTATCACACTTTCTCATTAACAATCTTCACCATGAGATCCATAGTAAAGAGAGCATTTAGTGCTATAATCTTTCTTGCTGCTTTTAAAAATATTTTTATTCCCACTGTTCTTTTCTTTCTGTCTTAAAGTAATGTTTTCAACTGATATTTGTTATGAGCTGCCAGGGATAGGTGTGATTATATATAATATATATATATATTATAAATAAATAATATATATATATAAATAAATAAATAAATAAGGTGTATTAGAGAA